GGATCGGGCAGTGTTTCATTCTGCTGTGCATGGGGTCGCTATGAGTCGGAAACGACTCGACGGCACTTAACAACAACAACAACCAGAAAACTGATGTCTGGATTTAAAATTAATGAATAATCATTCTCTGTGGTCTTTTCATTTAATCTAATAAACTTCTATTATCTTCCTTTTCAGTAAAAAAACATTTATAATGGGTTTATCCACTGCTTTCTTTTTTCATCTATATAGTTTTGGTGGTAACCTAAATTTCCCTTATTTGCTGTCCCAGTTTCACAAATACAACATCACCTTCTAAATAACTGTATTTTCCATTATTAACTAAATATAATTTCCATTCCCTTCCAAAAGTATAAAATTTCATTTTTGCACTAACTTATACCAGAGCAGGAAGGAATCTTGGCAATATGGTGGTCAAGCGCTTGGCTGCTAACCAAAAGACTGGTGATTTCAACCCACTAGCTGCTCCACATAAGTGTGATAGTCTGCTTTCATGAAGATCACAGCCATGGAAACCCTATGGAGAAGTTCTACCCTATCCTGTAGGGTCATTATGAGTTGGTATCAATTTGATGACAATGAGTTTGATTTGGGGTTTAAACCAAAACCCAGTATTTTTTATTAGTTTATCATATATAAAATTCTGTTTATATTTTGAAGTTCTCAAGATGATTCCTCATATACAAACTTATCTACTATGAATGCCTTTGCTCTTAACTTTGTCCTGTAAATGCTCAAATATATTTATATCTTAAGTGCCAATCTTTAACCCTCATGTATTTGCTTTCTACAACTATTAAAACTGCAGCATTTTGTTGACAAGTTCTTTCAGGTTTTTTTAAATCCTGAAATACTTTCCCTCAGTCTTTTAAAATAAAAATGAACTTGTCCAGGATCTGCTTCTGTTGTTAGTTGCTGCTAAACTGACTTTGACTCATGGTGACCTCATATATATAACAGAATGAACCATTGCCCAGTTCTGTGCCACTTTCACAATCACTGGTGTGCTCAAGTTCACTGCTGCAGTTACTGTATATTTAGAGTATCTTCCAACCTACACGGCTCACCTTCTAGCACTATATCAGACAATATTCTGTTATGATCCATAGTGTTTTCATTGGCTAATTCTCAGAAACAGATCACCTTTCTTCCTAGTCTGTCTTAGTCTAGAAGCTCCACCATGGATACACATTATGAATGGCCCTGCCGGCATTTGAAATACCAGTGGTACAGTTTCCATCATCACAGTAACAGGCAAGCCATCATGAACAACAAACTAATAAATGGGTAGTGGGTCCATGGTCTACCAGTACTCATTTTGAGCAGGATTCTTTTTTCTCTGAACTTTTTACTTCTCTAACATTTGAGAGGCATAATTTAAAATCATTTTCATTCCTGCACCTTTTTAATGCTTAGATGAACTTATTTCAGAGTTTAAAAGGCTTGTCAAAAAGGTATACTTTTTGGAAAACTGATCCTAAGTAGGGCCTTAGCTCTTTCTCAATATTCATCCTGAGATTGCCTTTTAGTTCAAGAAAATTAAATTATCTCAGGAACTTATATTTGTTTTAATTTTTGTTTTGTAGACATGGCTTTTTCCTTCTTTCCCATAATTCTTAATGTGTGTAACTGCTACCAAGCCCTAGAGGAGAAGTCTTAGAATCAGATACCTGGGGAAACTCCTGGAAGGCTCCCATCATTTCTTGACTTGTTTCAGAGGAACCACCAATCACAATCAAGGGCCTGAAATATTAATTTTAAAAAACAATTAAATTTTCCTTTAAAAATGAGGGTAAAGATTTAGGAAGCAACTTGATATAAGAAAACCCCTCCTCAAAAAATCTGAAATTTATAGTAACTGTTTTTCCTCTTTCTTCTTTATGGATGCTGGTCCTAACTTCTAAGTATGTTGTTGTTGTTGTTGTTATGTGCCGTCAAGTCGGGTTAGCAGTCAAGTGACTTAGCCACTATGCTACCAGAGCTCCTACTTCTAAGTATAGTGACTTTAAATGGATTTTTATGCATATCCTGTTATTCCTAAGTGAGTCTATTTGAAAATGACAGAAAAGGTGACATTCCTCAGCAATAAAATTCTTACCCTTCAAGGAAGGAAAAAAGGATACTTCAAACGTAAACTGCTTAAGAAATAAATGAAAATTTTTAAAAACATGGTTTAGACAAATTTATTTGTATTAAAAATCTAAAATGAATTTTTTCCAACTCAGTAAATTCAATTATAACCTCATTTTTTTATGCCCTGCCTCCCAAAAGCTTTTTAAAGTAGTCTCTTAAAGGAGTATAATTAACATAATAAAATGATGCAATAAAAAGTATTTGTTTATTCTGAAGCATTACACACATCATTTATTTTAAGACAAATGAGAATAACAGAAAAAATACAATAGTCAATAATGATATAAAATGGTCTAAACAAATATAAATCCAACAAATGTTCCAAATTTAAGGAGGCTAACGAGACATGACAATTACATGCAATGCATGACTCAAGACTAGCCCCGGTGCTGGAGAAAAAATAAAATAAAAAAGGACATTATCAAGTCAATTGACAAAATTACAAAACAAATGGCAGATTAGATCAAAAGTATTGTATCAATGTTAGATTTAACTAATGTTTATAATTGTGCTGTGGAGAATAGCTCAATTCTTAGAAGAGACATACTGAAGTATTTAGGAGTAGAGAGCACCTATCTTCAAATGATTCAGAAAAAAATATGAGGTATGGGCTTCATCTGCTTAGGAGTCCTGGTGGCACATGGTTAAGTGCTCAGCTGCTAACTGAAATCTTGGCAGTTCAAACCCACCAGCTGTTCCATACCAAAAGATGTGGCAGTCTGCTTCCGTAAAAATTGCCGCTTTGGAAACCCTATGGGGCTTTTTTCCTTGTCCTATAGGGTCACTACAAGTCAGAATTGACTTGACGGGAATGAGTTTGCTTTGGTTTTAGTTTCTCTACCTAAGTATCTTTCTCGGAAGGAAGGTTGGGCAATCTACTTCCGTAGTGATACTGTCTCGGAAACCCAAGGAGGGGTCTCTATGAGTTGGGTCTGACTTGATGGCACATAACACCAACAACAACACCTAAGTATCTATCTTTGTACCTACCTATCCATCCATCCAGCAAGAAACAACAAAAAAGCAAATGAGATAAAATGTTAACAATGTTAAACAACAAATTAAACAATAAAATGTTAACAAAAATTAAACAATAAATACACATGTGCTCTTTGTATTATTTATTCTTATTCTTGGTACTTTTTGTTAAATTGGAGATTATTTCCAAATAAGAAGTTCAAAAATTACATAGACATATAGATGTTGTTATGTGGCATCGAGTCGGCCCTGACTTATAGCGACCCCTCCTTGGGTTTCCGAGGCAGTATCACTACGGAAGTAGATTTCCCCATCTTCCTTCCGAGGAGTGGCTGGTGGGTTTGAACCACCAGCCTTCTGGTTAGCAGTCAAGTGCCTTAGGCACTAGATACACACACATATATATACACCCACAGGAGCTCTGGTGGCATAGTGCCTAAGGTATTTGACTGCTAACCAGAAGGCTGGGGGTTCAAACCCACTAGGCACTCCTCAAAAGGAAGACTGGGCAATCTACTTCTGTAGAGATATTACCTCGGAAACCCAAGGAGGGGTCGCTATTCTACAACTCAACAGCAGTGAAAGTTTGCCACACACACACACTCATTATACACACCTAATAGAATTTTATTTTTATCTGATCTGTACAGTTACTTTATAAAGAAAAAAAAAATCTGCTATAATACCCAGATGCCATTTAATCTCTCTGGGCCTCAATTCTTCCTCTGTGATATACAGGGTTAGGAAATCTCCAATAGTCCTTAGAATTCTAAAGTCTATGGTTCCAAAAACTTTAAAAAGTATATGAGGCAGAAAATACTGGGATCAACATTTATATAGTATTTTTCTTTCTAAGAACTTTATGTCCCTGCATTTGGCCATAGAAAATACTGTTTTTAATAGTCTCCATGAAATCTATATCAGCTAATATAAAGCAAACCTGCTCACAAGGATGAGGAAATCAAACCCTTAACTAAGCCATTTCCTCCAGCTATTCCAACCACAGATCAGTGCTTGCTTCACTGAGTAAATAAGTGACACTTTTAAAAGAAGCCTTTCAATATTAATGAATTTATTACCAACAGTTCATGTTTGCATTTGCCATGCCACCCAAGGCGTGGATGAGACCTGGGCCAGAAACCACAAGGCATACTCCTGGCCTAAAAGCAAAACAGAATGCATTAAAAGCAGGTCAACTATAACAACTGATTCAGAAAGACATCGAGGTCTTTACTAAAACTGGTAAAAGAATAATTAGAATATGATTTCAATTAAAAAAAAAGGGAGAAAGATTCTATCAGTCTTCCTTCAATAAGTAAGATGACATCCTCACATTGTGTTTCACTAGCCTCCTCATATTTTGCACCTGTTACAGTAGGGCTAAATCAAGTTGACCACATACAGAGCAACTTTTTTTACTGCTGCGTAAATTTTTGTATAGGCAAAAAAAGGCTTTTTTCATTTCTTACCAAATAAATATAATGTCAGTCAATCTTTGATATAAAAGTAATTCTGAAATGCAGTCTTTGCCCAAATCTCTTTTGATTGAACTTGAATACTTTACCCCAGATGCAACTTTTCAAGGAAAAGACAGATCCATATGAATCAGTTTGCTATTTGACATTTATAATGCACTTTCTTTAGAAGCTCTGGTTAAGAAAGCCTTTAAAAGAATCTTAATCATCACCAAGTAAATTAAACTTCTAGAACAATGCTACCTAATAGAATTTTCTACAACAATGTAAATGTTGTATAGCTACATAGTGTCTCTCATTTGGTAGCCACACATGATACTGACTAGTACAACCAGGAGCTCTGGTAGTGTAGTGCCTAAGGCACTTGACTGCTAACCAGAAAGATGGCAGTTCAAACCCACCAGCCATTCCTCGGAAGGAAGATGGGGCAATCTACTACCACAGTGATACTGCCTTGGAAACCCAAGGAGGGCTCGCTATGAGTCGGGTCTGACTGGATGGCACATAACAACAACAGTACAACTGAGAACTAGAGTTTAAATATTACTTAATTTTAATTAAATATAAATGTAAATAGCCACATGTGGCTAGCAACTACTATACAGGACATTACAGCCCGAGAAGTTCATTCGAGTAAAAAAGTTTTTAAAAGTATAAACTTACACTGTTACCTAATCATCATTCTAGTCATTCTGTACATTAAAGTATCAATGACTCTACGTTAAAAGGTTTTCCAGACCAAACTGTTCACTCGTAAATAAAATGACAGAAAATCGTCAAGATACTGTTATTTGGATGGCTTATTTTCCTTGGGCTTAAATTCAGAAGGTTCTTCTCAGACAAGAACTAATCTGTTTAAGTAGGTCCAAAGAGGCTTTGGGAATTTGTTACTTTATATTTTTTAGTATTTAATTATTAATTTCATTTTTGGAAAGAAAATTTTACTAAAGCTAACACAGCAAAAAAAGTATGATACAAATTAAAATATGAGTCCAGATTCTGCTTTAAAAAGACATGTGTGTGCCATCTAGATGTAACGATGGGTCTCTCCTTGTCATGAGCAAAGAAGAAAGCAGAAAACCAAAATTAATGGAAACAATCAGTCCCCACGACTGGTACACCATCCGATCTGCAACCTATATAAATATGAGACCAGAAGAACTAGATGGTGCCCGGCTACCACTGTCATCCACTTGGAAGGGATGTAGGAGATCCTGGATAGAGAGGGAGAACAAT